AAAAAAAAAAAAAAAAAAAAAAAAACCATTTTCCCTTACCTGGACTTGCTTTCCAGCAAACACCAATGTTGAGTATGGATTGTGTTTTCCTAATAACAGGATGAAGGACGCTGGAACTGATTTCCAGGAAAGCCGAAGCTGTGTCACAGCCTCAGTACTCCAGGTAGAATTGTGAGGACTCCGGCCTCGTCTTCAAGATTTAATATATAAAGCCAATTGAAAAAAAAAAAAAATGCAGGCCACCGTGTCAGACACACTGCAAGTTCCTACTAGCACTTAGTCAATGCCACGTCAGGCGTGGTCGAGGCATCTCCTCTATGGCCCAGGCACAAGGGGCTAGGGTAGGCCTGAATCTGATCCAAGTCACGGCCCGGTTCACGTTGGGCGTGCCCAAAACATCTGGACCGTGGCCTAGGCACAAGGGCCCAGGGCAGGCCTGAATCTGACCCCAATCACGGTGAGGTACAGGCTGGTCCTCTTCGCCTATTTTCCAGGGCCTTCTAGACCCTAGCTCTCTTCACTTGCCGCCGCATGAAATCTCCGCCGTTTGAGCTATCAGATCGAATGGCTACGAAGTTTCATGCAGCAAGTGAAGAGGGCCAGGGCCTAGGAGGCCTGGATGACATGGCCACTGCCACAACTGGGTTCCCTGTCTTGAGATATTTTTCCAATTGTGAAACTCAGGCCACTGCTGAAGTGTGAAAACGAGTTTGTATTGCACATCAGTTACAAAAAAAAACAAGTATGCCCAAAAAAAAAAAAAGAAAGAAAAAAAAGCCAGGCTAACTTAATCAGGATTGTAGAACCTATGGATGGGTGGGACTTGCTTCAATACTTCATTGCCTTTAAATTAGGGTATGTTTGTGCTTCAGTGATACTTTAGGGTAGTGTGGTTTTTTAGTGATACTTCACCGTAGTGGTTTCCAGCGGGTGCAGCTCCCCACCAATAGAATGGAGCCCCCGGTGAGAAAGGTAGGAGTGTATGCTCTTATCATCACTCCTATCTGATATCACGGAAGTTTAAAAAAAAAAAAAAAAAAAAAAAAAAAAAAGGGTAGTGGTTTTTGAGGTTTGCTGTTGACCGTAACTGGTTAGGGCCTGAGAAATTTTTGATTGAACAAGTTGGCTGCGGTCGGGGATGGGCTTGGTCGGGAGTGCTTTTCTCTGCCCCGTATGGCTGTGGCATGTATGTAAGGGACGTCGGACCCGTTTTCCCGTATTTGTAAGTGCAATCAGACTCGACTTCAGACTTGCTCACACATGCATACAGGAGAACTGATGGCAAAACCAACTCGTCAACTCAGAATCAACAACGAACTTGCACTTAAACTCAGTTCAATACAACTGTCCCAGTTTGTGCCAAATTGAGAGGATATGGTTGTATCTATGGGACGCTGGACCCGGTTTCCAGCAGGTGCCGCTCCCCACCAATAGATGGAGCTGTTTAAAAAAAAAAAAAAAAAAAAAAAAAAAAAACAGTTCAATACAACTGTACAACTTGCGGCTATGTCCGCCAAACTCAGTTCAATCAACAACGAAGCTTCCAGACGTTTGGCCTTCTGGGCCAAAACGTGTGAAACCCACAGCGTGCTCCAGAACCTTCCCCGCGTGCAGCTCCTACCCCTGGTACTTGCTGACTGGACTGGCCTACAGGGACCTACGACCTTCTAGAGCCTACAGACTTACAGACAGACTCTAGGCCTCAGTATTCTCAGACTCGACCTCACGACCGACAAGACCCCTGATGAGCTGCCGGTGGTGGCCAGCCGAAACTAGTCGAGTCAACTCCGCCAGGACTTAATGTTTCATTTTTTAGTCGCGTTCGGGAGACCTATTGTATCCATGTGTACTTCTTCTTCTTCTTCTTCTTCTTCTTCTTCTTCTTCTTACCTCATTGTCTCTTAGACATCATTCTGTTTTCCCTCCATAGTTTCCTGAATGCTACACTGTGTGGTTTCACCTTTTGCAGTCGTCATTCGTCTGTCAGTTGATGCTTATCACACATCCTAAGCCTATCCGTAACAGACCTTACTCCTAATCTACAGACCTAGGGATCGAGTCCGACACAGATCACTGGGTCTCTCTTTGTACAGGGTTCAGGGTAAGTCTAGGGATTGAATCTCACTCAGCACACAGGGTCAATGTACTGGGCTCGGGCACAGGTCTAGGGATCGAATCTCTGTGTCTGCCAATGTCGAGTCAACTGGGTGAAACCGTTTCATAAGGATTACTGTGTTATAAATAAAAAAAAAAAAAAAAAAAAAAGTTGGTCACATGCCAGGCTCCCCAGACATGCTGTTTAAAACCAGCTTTTCGACAATTTTGCATCCCCACACAGGCTTTCGGAGAACTGCGGCTCAAAAATATTTCGACAGGTGTCAGAATGATACTTTTGACAGCCGCCCTACAAGAATCGTTTCCTTCATCCTGCAGGTGATGGAAATTCTACAGTGGCCCATGCTGTCTAAAACCAGCTTTTCGACAATTTTGCATCCCCACACAGACTTTCGGAGAATTGCGGCTCAAAAACATTTTTCGACAGGTGTCAGAATGGTACTTCGACAGCCGCCATACAAGAATCGTTTCCTCCATCCTGCAGGTGACGGAAATTCTACAGTGGCCCGCCGACCTTTCGAGAATTGCATTCAATTTTGCATTGTCAGGGACTTTTCCGTGACACCCATGCCCCCCCGGTCCAAAGGCGGAGTCCATTCCATTTGCCTATATGACCAAAAACAACCTTGCCGCTCCTCGACAGCCTGTGTGGCGAAGGGTGGGGTAAACTGTAGACCGCCGACTTTCAAACTTTTTTCTGACACCTGCCCAAACTCTTTTAGTTTCTTTTTTTCCTTCTTTTTTTTTTGTTTCTTTTCTCTTTTCTCTCTCCAAAAAAAGTTGAAACAAATCAACAGACCCACATATGTCTGCGCGGTAACGTACCAGGTCCTGTCTAAAAACAAAGAACTAGACAATCAAAATCCTCCTTGCCGCATGGCGAAATGTGGGGGGGCCAAAGTGGACACACTCTACTTGGAATGGAATGGCGGACCGGGGGAAGACGTTTGCTGTTTCCTTAGGCCACCACATGGCGAAATGTGGGGGAGTCAAAGTGTACACACTCTACTTGGAATGGCGGATGGGGAAGATGTTTGCTGTTTGCTACGGCTTTTGTGATATTTGTGTCTGCTGCTGGTCACAGGAAACTGCCGGTGGCATATGGGACAGGGTTGCGCCTTTTTTTTTTTTTTTTTTT